GAGTCTCCTATATAAGGGGTGATTTGCACTTTTTAAGTTAGTTCGAGGGCCTATTTGATTCTTTAGAAAATGCTTAGTGTACATGAGTATTACACAAACTGGACACAAAACCCCCCTGATTCTTTTCCCTAGAAAAATTGCCAAAAAGGCTACATATACCCACCAAAGTTATTTCTAAAAATATATTGAAATTATTTAATTTAATTATTGTTTAAATAATCAAAAACAAAATACTTCATAATTAAAATGATTGAGAGATTAAAAAGGTAAGGAAGAATATTGGGGTATTTTGAGTTTGCACCACATATTATTGTCTATATTGGACTTTGCATCCCGTTTTTAAAAATCTTTATTTTTGTACCCAATCCCATATGAAAAGACCAAAAAGACCTCGATCAGGAATTGTTAATGGAGGAACATTTTTGTCTCTTTATATGATATCTATAATTTTATATAGTAAAGCTCAGTTATAAACCAGTATTTTGCTCTTATTGGTTAACATAATTTCATTATAACATTCAACTAAAACAAGAAAAAAACACAACCTAAAAACCGCAAGAGAGAAAAGCGGAAGAATAAAGGCAAGCTCATAAAACAATCAAACGAGTCTGTATACCTACGGGTGCATGGTGAGCACCATGCACCAATTGGATATTATTTTCTCTTTTTTAAAAAATGGTAATAATTTTTTTATTTTTGATCCGATTTTTATAAAATTTATATCAACATTTTTTATTTTTCATGATCTTTCAAATGAGACCAATATTGCCTATATAATTTTAACATATTAACATTTGCGCGTAAAATATGTAACTTTACGTGTTAAAATATGTAACTCGCGTTCAGACAGGTCAAATGCAACTCGTGTGTATAAATATGTAACTCGCGTGTATAAATATGTAACTTTACGTGTAAAAATATGTAACTTTACGTGTAAATATATGTAAGTCGCGTTCAGGCATGTCAAATGCAACTCGTGTGTATATATATGTAACTCGCTTATAAAAAGATGTAACTTGCTTATAAAAAGATGTAACTCGCTTATCAAAAGATGTAACTTGCTTATAAAAAAATGTAACTCGCTCATAAAAAGATGTAACTCAATGTATTATCAAATGTAACTGAGGCCACTGATCCACTCCCAAATAGATTCGATCTTCTATTTCACAAACCTATCATCTCCCAAACAGATTCGATTTTCCTTATAATCCAATACTCATTAATATTATAGTTCGATAATTTCTTAAAATTACATAAGCAATATTGATCTCATTTGAAAGATCATGAAAAATAAAAAATGTTGATATAAATTTTATAAAAATCGGATCAAAAATAAAAAAGTTATTATCATTTTTTAACAACAAAAGCAAAAAAAAAACCAAGCATGCTGTGTTGTTTTGCAACAGGGCGCACCATCCTCATGGTGCGCCGGTTGTACGATATAATTTGCCCAATCAAACGGTAGTCCTTATACTTCTTAATGAGATAAAGCATACGATATGTATTTCTTAATGTGATAAACATACAAACTTTACTAGATAAAGTTGCTTTATGGGATAAGGAATTTTATCACTTCACCAAATACAGATCTTTAAAGAGAAAACTGTCAAATAGGTCCAACTACTTATACGAAAAAGTCAATTAAGTCCATGTACATTTTACTGAGTCATCAAGTCCGTTAACTATCAAAAACGATCAAATCAGCTATTTAATAGGTTACCAACCGGTTATCCGGTTAACAACCTACGTGGACTTCCATATGGCCTTTTTTTAAAAAAATTCTATTTTGTTTTCTTTTTCTTTTTTCTTCTCTTTTTTTCCCTTTCTTCTTTTTCCAGCCCTCTTCCCTCCCTGCATCTACAACTAAAGATCTATGGGATGGCAGTGGCGGCTATGGAGACCGGGTGGTTCGGGGTCGTTCCATGGAAGAGGCGGAGCTGGAGACCGGTGGTTGGAGGTCGTTCCATGGAGGCGGCGGCGGCGTTGGAGACTGTGGAGGTGGAAGCCGGAGGCTGTGAGTACGGTGGTAAGGGAGATGGCTACGGAATCCGTCGCGGCTCGAGGTTGCTTTAACGAAGGAGGCAAAGGGGAAGGCCACATAGGTGGTGGCCGGAGGCGGTGTGTATGGCAGGACAGGCGGTTGAGGTGAAGGTGTAGGTCGGGATCTGGAGGCGGTGGCTATGGAGGCTGAAAAGCGGATGTGGTGGCTAGAGAGGCGGAAGCATCGAAGTTGTTCCCGGTGAGAGCCAAGAAAGAAAGCAACGAAGGAGACAATCGGCTGGGGAAGGTGCGGACCAAGAAGAAGGAAGAGAAAAAAAAAAGAAAAAGGAAGAGAAAAGGAAAGAAAAGAAAATAAAAGAAAGGAAAAGAAAAAAAAAACGCCACGTAATACATCCACGTAGGCTGTTAACCGGATAACCGGTTAGTAACCTATTGAATAATTGATTTGGTCGTTTTTTATAGTTAACAGACTTGATTGACTCAAAAAAATGTACATGGACTCAATTGACTTTTTCGTATAAGTAGTGGACCTATTTGACAGTTTTCTCATCTTTAAATAATAGGCTGTATACACCCTAATAGGACTCTCTAGCTAAATACACGAACATAAATTCTATCCCTACTTCCTTCCATCCTTTGTCATATAAAACCCTATAAATAATTAACAAATATTGCCTACTCCCTTTGTCTATCGGAAAGTTTCCATAGATAAATGACATGATTTTTTGAATAAATGATTAAATAAAGCAATTTAGATAAAAAAAAGACAGGAAAGAAAAAATTTAGGAAAAGTAAATATATAAAGTGAAAGTAATTAAAGAGATATAAGTTGAGGAAAGAGAAATTGTTAGATTTGACATATAATGAGTATAAAAGAGAAATTTGAGTTGAGACGTAATTAAAGAGAGTAATTATTTCATAAAATGGAATAAAAACTTTTAAATGGGCACTTAAATAACAAAAGTGAGAACATTTTAATTGGGCAGATGGAATATATAAACAACTATATAAACACAAAATTTTTATACCAAAAAAATGGCGATTTCTCACCCATCTTCTATGGTGCAATATGGTTGCATCGAAAAGATCTCAAATAAAAGCAGGTTCAAATGCATAAATGATACATTAACTATTGGTAATGTTGCAATTTGGTATCTTAACTCTTAAATGAATCAAAACGGTATCTTAACTATATATAAATGTTTCGAACTGAGATTTTATTCAAATTTTCGATCAAAAAATCTTCATGCACTCCAAAATTCATGTGTAGAGACACTCTATAGTGACCATATGGACAAAAATAAGGTGAACTAGACTTTAAGCATAGAACTTTGGTTAGAAATTTGAATAAAATCTCAATCCGAAACATTTATGTATAGTTAAGGCATCATTTTGATTCATTTAAGAGTTAAGGTACAAAAATGCAACATTACAATAGTTAAGATACCATTTGTGCATTTGACCCAATCAAAGCAAATAGGCTTTATGTGTAAGGTTGGTCATTCACAAGGATAATGTCCGCCAGGACAATTTAAATCAACTTATTTCATACAAACTACTTTTAACTGATGAAAACTTAAATGAAAGCGCTTCTCGACTTTTGGTTTTAAAAAGCTAAAATTAGTGTTTTCAAGTGACAACTTCTACTTGAAAAAGTGTTTCTCGCCTTTTGGATGAAAACTGCTTTTTACTTTTTTTTTATTACATAAAAAACACATATTTTACTAAACACTATCAACTTTTACTTTTTAAAATCATTTTTTTCTCAAACATCATCAACTTTTACTATTAATTACTTTTTTCAAAATCACTTCAAAAAGTGTTTTTTTATAAGCAAAAGCTTTTGCAAACACTCCTTTTAATATGAGCGCAACGTGACCCAATCCAAAAATCGATGACCGTGTATGTAGAACATATCTCATGTAGATACGTACAAAAAATTACTTTTTTCATCGGCAATTCTTTTAGCTATTAAATGTTTATCACATTCAAATTTAATTCGTGGTCTTCATTTCTTCTAGCACTTATCACATTTTTAACTTTTAATTATCGTATACTCCATGTTAATTATTTTCAATTAATTTTGTTTTCTAATTATATAATCTTTTTTTTTGTTTTTTTGTCCTGGTTCAATCCACACTCGGTGGGTAAGGTGCCGGGGAACACCTCCCTAATTTATTAAAATAAAGATTTGAGTACAAGAATTGAAATTTGAGGTTACATTTGATGAAATTGAAAAACAAGACAAATGAGAGAAACAAGAAAAAAGAAAAACAATTCTTTTAGCTATTAATTGTTTATCACAATCAAATTTATTTTTAACTTTTAACTTTGCAAAAAGGAAATACAAAGAATTTTCTCATGTTTGTTACATTAGAAATACTCTCAGTTTTAGTATTATGCTTTAAGGTCGATGACTATTAATAAAAGTCATGAGAAAACACTAGCATATGGTGGACTTTATTTGGAAAAAAGTGCATTCACGCATGAGAAGCTACATGTCGCCGTTTTAAGATCGATTCAAGAGCAAAAATGGGTTGAATTTTTTGTTGGATGAAGAAAAAGGATGCAATTCAACAACAAATGTTTTGTTTAAAGAAGTCTTTCAAAATGTGTAATTTTCTTTTAAAGCACATCAATACATGATACTTAGTACAAGAGTGTTTTCATTTCACTATACTTTTATTACTTTTCATCGTACTATGAACTTTTTCCAACTATTGTTCTAATAAACAGATAATAAAAACAATGAGTCTAAAACCATAATAAAAATCTTATACACACCATTTTTAAGATCCACTTTCTCATTTCGCAACAAAATATTTGTAGTAGTAAATATATAATTTTTTTCATATTAATCATTTCTACAAATCACCCACAACATATATCAATATATACCATATACTTACTTCATATTAACATGACACTACCGGGGCATTACACTAGTCTGATTACAAAAACAAAGATTTTTAGAAACAGCCTCCAAAATCCAATTTGGACCAAAATGAGGTCCAAACTCAAATTAGCTGTTAGTCTAAACTCTCCCCCCTCCCAACTTCTTTTTCTTGCTCTTCCCTGGCTCCCTGCCGTCCTGGGCCTCCAACATATCATCCCCCTTTTCGATCATCGTAGCTCGGAATTCTCATGCCAACTTACTTTTGAAACTCCCGGACACATAAAGTCGCAGTTTTTGCAGGGATATAGGAGCCAAAGTCGGCAATGGAGGACGGCAGGGGCTGATTAGGGACGGCGAAGCCTTACAGAGCACAAGGAGCAAATGAACAATGAAAGTGAAGTGGTGGCGGAGGGGCTGTGGGGGTTGTCAGATTATCACGAGAAGAAAGGCGATATCGGTAAGGCAATAAAATGCTTAGAGGCCATATGTCAGAGTGGCATCTCCTTCTTCCCAATCGTCGAAATCAAGACTCGTATACGCGTGGCCACTCTACTCCTTAAGTATTCCAACAACATTAACCACGCTAAAGCTCACCTCGAGCGTGCAGTAAGTACTCTTCAGCTCACTGCAGTTCCCATTTGATTCGCTCGTGCTATTGATCGTTTTCTTCCAATTTCTCAAGTGCTTTTATCCATAGTTGTTAATTTGTTCAAGAGATACAGAAACTGTACGAATCTATTCGAGAAATGAGAAATTGTTAATTAGTTTGAAGAGAACTTAGGACTTTGGTTGATTTATAGAATAAACGTTCGGCTGAATTTTGGTTAGTAAGTGCTTTTAAAGGTATTTTTGTGGAGGTAGTAGGCTCCTCTTGTCCCCAGTGGATCATCCACTGCAAATCTGCAAATGTATTTTTTTAAATGTTCTGTTGGTCCAGTTGAAACCTCTGCAACCACTTAGGAGATGCCACTACATTGATTGCTGCTTTAGAACATACATTATGAGTATATGATGCACAGGCGCAGCTTAGGAACAGCGCTGTAGTAAGGTGATGCCCAGTCTGATCCTGTTTAGCACTGGGTTTCAGAAGTGTTATATCGAGGCCTCATATAGTCATATGATAAATAAACATATAATCATATAATAAAGTATAGGATAAAAAGTCTACACAGTGCTGTAAAATTTATTTCTTTTCTTTTATAAAGCAAAAAATGAGATATCGAGGCCTCATATAGTCATATTATAAATAAACATATAATCATATACGAGTAATAAAGTATAGGATAAAAAGTCTACACAGTGCTGTAAAATTTATTTCTTTTCTTTTATAAAGCAAAAAATGAGATAACCTTTATGTAGTGGTTTTAAGCAAGAACATTATCTGCTGAATAGGCACAGTCTGTATCAATAATTTGCTTCCAAGGCTCCAAGTAATGGAAAAACTTGAAAAGTTTCAACCTGAAATGAATTGAAAAAAGGCTACATAGTAATTGATTATTGATAAAAGAAAACATAAAAATCATATACGGAGTACAAATTTAAGAAGCACAAAACTAACTCGCTATTCGGTAGTAACTCGGTCAAGGACCGAGTAGCCAGTACGGCCGATTACTCGGATTACTCGGCCTTGTATTAATTAGATTTAATAACATAAGTGCCCGAGATTATATAAATATAACAGTCTTAAAAATGTTAAATTATCTTAAAATGCATAGAAATGAATAAAATGATAGAAATGCTAATGATGGAGTAGAAAAAGTCATAAACATTCTAAGTCTTCAAGAAAATCAATCATCTAATAATATGGTAATATCTTTGTTCTTTCCCCATGTTCATCCTATATCATCTGATTTTCTCTTTAAATGTAGTATTAGCATATTCAGCACCATTAGAAGCCTCAACAAACTGAGCAGAGTTCACGACTGTCAATTAGATGATGTGTGACAGTGTGTATCAATCAATGATGTGCCATAGTAAACAATCAATCTAGTGATATTAATTAAAAGTTACGTAGTATAATATATAGTCATACTAGTGAAAAGAATTTATTTATATCAAAATATATGTGTGTATCAATATTAAACAATCAAGATGGTGATATTTTAAGAATGCTGAAAAGAACATATGGTGAAGAAGGATGGGAGGGTGAAAGAAGAAGAAACGAGAGAGGGGAGAGGGGAAGATACGAGAAAGAAGATGACAACTTATTGAGAAATCGTAGTCACAACTCTAGGGGGATAGTAGATGTCAGAAACTCCGTTTAACCTAGGTTTTGTAACTTAATTTGTCAATTTTATAAGAGGGAACTGAGTTAGACCGAGTACTCGCCAAGTTGAAAACTTCACCGTGTTGAGAAACTCGCTGAGTACTCGGCGAGTAACTCGGAAATAAAACACGGACCGAGTTAGGTAGCTACTCGACAAGGCCAATACCCGGGTTGTGAGTACTCGCCGAGTACTCAACGAATAGATAACCCAGGCTGTTTTAATAATTTAATTTAAAATGGAAAGCTGTTTGTAATGCTTAATTTAATAAAGAAGCATTCTGCAAGTTTTCCCTGGTCGGCTACAATTAAAACACAAGTTTCCTCTAATTTGCAAGTTTCCATGGTTGGCAATTTAAATCACCGTACTTTATCAACAAATAACAAATTTAAAATATATTTGGTATGTAATAGATTCAAACTTGTTCTTCAGTTCTTATTATGAATTGGTATCTAAAAAATTAAAAAAATTGGGCTCTAATTGACTAATTGTTTATTATGATTTTAACAAAGTTTACCCTTCCGTTATTCTTCGGTCCTTACTATGAGTTGTTTACTATATATTTTTTTAGTCTTTATTTTATATACATAATCAGTTAACTAGATGACTAGTATGTAAATTAATGAAAACTGTTAAAAACTCACTGTGAATATATGATGGATTAATGGTGTTCTTAGGTTCTTCCGACCACCCGACTTTGGTTCTTCTACTTGTTCAGTGGCTTCATCAGTCTTCACTTTGTGTTTCTGTGTGATTTAAGTTGATTGGGGAATGCGGAGGGCCTTTTAAATGTTTCCCACTTTCCTGAGAGGAGAAGTAGCAAAGAACAAATAGGCGAATCAGCGGATGTAAAAAATGAAGCGGCAAAGAGCCGAATAATTCGGATATGATGTCTAGAATAGTTACTATTAGTACACACTATACAACTAATATTTAAAAAAACAAGGAACCCAATAAACCCATCCTTAGCCGGTTCTGGTATGCCATTTAATGTTTTAAACATTGCTAGCACCAGTACTGATGCTGGTCACAGTAACACGCCTCTACACATTTACCTCTATAAAGCAACTTTCAAAATCAAAATATGTTGCCTGACTACTGCTGTTAAATATTTTCTTCTTCTGTGCCTCGCTTCTAACGATAGTATCTTTAAATGTTTCAGCACTTGCTTTTGAAGTCCATTCCATCATGCTTTGAGCTAAAGTGCAGAGCCTACAGCTTATTGAGCCAATGCTACCAACTTCTGGGGGCTATTGCTTCCCAAAAACAGATACTCAATAAGGGGTTGGAACTTATTGCAACGTCTGAGGATGGGTATGCCTTTTTTGCTTTATGTTACTGCATATTTCTTCTTTTCATCCTAAGAATCGCGAAGGCAGGTATATGATACATAATTTTCTGTATGTAGCAGTATGTGTATGTATAAATAAATAATACTTAAATTGTTTAAAGAGAGTTTGAGTCGTTATTCCTATTCTGAAGAAGAGACTGACAGGTTTCAGAGACTGGAAAAGGGAAGATAGATTTAGAAACAGCGCTGTAGTAAGGTGGTGCCCAGTCTGATCCTTTTTAGCACTGGGTTTCAGAAGAGGACTACATCTTGTACGCCTCAATATGGAACACACTGTATGACACAGGTCTGTATAATAAATTTGAGAGGACCGCCGGACCGGTTCTAAGAGTCATATTGAGGCCCCATATTTGTCATATTATAAATAAACATATAATCATATAATAAAGTATAGGATAGAAAGTCTACACAGCGCTGTAAAATCTATTTCTTTTCGTTTATAAAGCAAAAATTGAGATAACCTGAATGTAGAGGTTTTAAGCAAGAACATAATCAGCTGAATAGGCACTTAGCCTGTATCAATAATTTGCTTCCAAGGCTCCAAGTAATGGAAAAAGTTGAAAAGTTCCAGTCTGCAATGAAAATTGAAAAAGGCTACATGATAATTGATAAGAACAGTGGGCCAAAGGGTTTAAGGTTATTTATAAGGGTTAGGGTGTAAATCAGTGGCAGAGACATGCGAATTTGAGAGTGTTTAAGAAGGAAGGAGCCCAGGGATTGAAGATTAACGAATCGGCAAGTTAGTAATTTAAAATTTAGAAATTTCCTAATCTCCGTAGTTTCCTAAACGCAGCTGAAACACATTTCCAACTTTCCTAAATTACAGAAACGGGCCCGACACGCGTTTCTGTATTTTTGGATGAGAGTAAATATCTACTAAAACAAATATCTAATGTTTAATGAGAGTATACATTTAAAGCTTCTTAATTTTAGGATCATTTTTAGTAAGAATTACAACATTTAAAAACGTTGTATAAAAGTATTTAGCACTCTAAACAAAGAAGAGGAAAACGGACGGTAAAATGAGTTTGAAATGTACCGTCTGGAGGGATTAGTTGTGATTGGAGGAAAAGCTAAATGCACAACTATTTGACTTCTCAATATGCACGGTTGGCCCAAATAGTCCAGTGGGCCTTTAAGTTAAAGGTTGGCTAAACCTCAAGTGGCCCTCTTCTAGCAGTAGTGGAGTTGAAGTTGAGACGCACAAAGAATGTTTCGTTCCTGGCTGGGTTCGAGCCAGTCGGCCAACCCAGGTGGATCAGAGTTGGACTGTTGGACTAGTTAAATAATTTACACTACTTTATGGGGTGAAGGTGAATCGGTGATCATAATATTCTCTTGAAATTTGATAAAAGTAAGACATCATAACAGCAATTTTTCTCTGGTATCAGATGAAAAAGCTATAACAGCACACGTTACCATACCTTTGGCATATTGGTATATCAGTGCCTCTTGTGTATTATTACACAATCTCACAAAATTCTTTTATGTTCCTGTTTTACCAACACTGCCAACACACTAATTACAATTCTCAACTGACCACTACTTGAAGGTTTTCTGCAAGGTTATGGCTCTGCAACTTCAGTTCTCAGCTTGCGAATGCTTTGATAAGTGAGCAAGACTATAATGGATCAATTTTTCCTTTAGAACGTGGGCTGTGCTCTGCAGCTGAAATGTGTTACTCAGAATTACAGGTTAGCTTTAGTTAAGATGAATATTACCTTCAGCCTTGGTCTAAGAAAGAGTTCAATTTTCAATACTGTAATGTGAGATATGATTAATTTTCGTGCTTATATGGACCTGCTATCTCATTGATCGTTTAGATTTTGTTTGTGTCAGATGTTTTTTGCGACTTCTATCTTGCATGTGCACCTCATGCAATGCGATAATGCAAGTGTGGTTCAAGAAGATGTCAATAGATGTAATTTAATCTGGGAATCTATTGATTCTGATAAAGTAAGTTGATATCTTTATTTTCGCTATATGATGATGATTCAGTTAAATATGTTGGAACATTTTAATCTGCTTCTCTTTTGGTATTTCCGTTTTCTGACACCAGAGAATATTAACTTGATTTTTTCTTCTTTATTGTCCGACACAAAAAAGAGACAGCAATGTCTCGGTTTGTTATTTTATAACGAGCTGTTGCAAGTGTTCTATCTACTTCGGATATGTGACTATAAGAATGCTGCACAACATGTTGAAAAATTGGATGATGCAATGAAGTCTGACTTACAGCAGAGGCAATATATCAAGGAACTCAACAAAGAATTAACTGAACTCAATAGAAGTCTTTGTGATTCTGATATAAACTACACAGACAGATCTATATTATCTCAGAAACAAGCTCAACTTGAAGAACAGCTCAACAATTTAACAAGTACGGGTTCAACCTGCAAAGGATATTTAGAACCAACACATTTTGGAAATGTGAAGCGGGAGTGGGGTGATAAGCTTGAATTGGCACCGCCTCCAATTGATGGGGAGTGGCTACCAAAAGGTGCTATTTATGCATTGGTGGATCTCACTGTAGTTGTATTTAGTCGTCCCAAGGGAAAATATAAGGATATTCAGAAGAGGATTCAGTCCGGCCTACTAACCATCCAAGGTGTGTGTATTCCTTAAAGGACAATCTTTTTACATTGCCCGATCCTCGCTACAAACTGTTGTTCACACAATTATTATGGATATTTTTATCAGTGCTCTATGTAATGCTCCTAAAGTTAGGGAGAAACTGCATTTTCCAGCTTGTTTTCAGCTATACATTCGGGAAAAATGGTGAAAAAATAATTAGTATTTTTCTCATCTTCAAACATTCTAGTCCATCCTTCCTAAAAAAGAGCCACATTTCAAAAGCATTTTGTACCAAAAATAGATTTTTATTTCATAAAACGATAAATACAGTAAAGAAAAACTAAATGTAAATAAATTTATAAAGGAAAAATTTATAGGAATACGTTCTTATCATATCTATTGCTCCTAAAGTTAGGGAGATACTGCATTTTCCAGCTTGTTTCAACTATACATTCGGAAAAAATGGTGCCCCCCGAAGAAAAACAATTAGTAGTTAATTTTCTCATCTTCAAACATTCTAGTCCATCCTTCCTAAAAAAGAGCCACATTTCAAAAGCATTTTGTACCAAAAATAGATTTTTATTTCATAAAACGATAAATACAGTAAAGAAAAACTAAATGTAAATTTATAAAGGAAAAATTTATAGGAATACGTTCTTATGCATCATTCCAATATAATCTAAATAATATGGGGTGTTTTCTCAAAATGAACCACATAGCAGCCGGTGCATGCTTAAACCAATTTTCCATGTGGCTTGTTATTGGTCTCCATAAAGTTATTGTTTTTTTTGTCTTCTCTATTTTTCTTCTGCTTCTATCCCGTGCGTCCATTTCTCCTCTTAAGTGCAGCCATGGTTGTGTATGATAGCAACGGAGATGATTCGTGATAACCGCATTTGGATCTTACCTTCCTGTTTTTATTTTCAAATGCTACCATATTTGAGGACTGCATCTCCGTCGTACACCGGCAAATCCAATTTCTCTGATGAAACAATTGAGGCCGCTCGTTGCCACTACCTTCGCTGTGTTTTCCTTACTGGGTCTGAGAAAGAGGCTTAGGCCATTAGATGTGTAATGTGAAGGCCGAAGGGCCAGATTGGTTTCGATTTCCTCTGGTTATGTATAAGGCTATAAAGCACAACACGAGATATGACTAATCTCACTTCCCTAATTGCACTGCCTAGGGTTAAAAGTTACCCATAATCTTGAATGTATTAGCTGTGTTCAAGGACCCAACAGGATGCTTTTCACAGTGCTTCTTACTTCAGTTGGAATAAGTGTCGCTGTTAAATGGATTTCTAATCAACCCATATTCATAAAACATCAAAGAACTTAAAAAGCAATTCTAGATGAATATCTGGGAGAGTTTATTGGCTTGGTTTACCAAGTTACCAGTCACTTGGGTCTTTTTTTAGAACTTGAAAGGTTACCCATGAAGTACATATTCTACTGAAATGCACTTGGATTCCATGTCATTTTAAGAAATATACCTTGCCAGAGTTAAAAATTTGTACCTTGATTAAACATGACTCCTTTTTCAGACATAGCAAGTATCTGTCTGTTCTAAGGTGGCCTAAAATCCAGTAGTTTGGTGTTTCTTCTCCCCCCCGCCCCAAAGCATGTGATGCATTGGCCTTTTTAATTTGGCTTCTCATACTTGGAACTCATTTTTTTAAATTCTTCGCAGAGGAACTTGAAAGACTTGGGATCAATGATGGGGTAAAAGGTGATCCGTCATCCTCTTCGTTAGATCTATTTCATTGTTTGCCAACTTTTATTATATGGAGTACTGAACTTCAATCAGTCATCCGGATGTATTTTTTTGGAAAACTGTAAGCACACTTTTAGCAGTACAGTACAGGATCAAGTTTACTGACATGTTTTGCTAACACGCAGAAGTGGATTTGCTACAGTCTGCAATTTCAATGGGCAGTGTTTATTTAGACATTCTGATGCAGTTTTTAGAAAATAAAATTGCAGTGGATCTTACACGATCTGAGTTTTTTGAAGCACAAGAGGTTTGTTTCTGTGTTTTTAGCATTTTTGTCTCCCAACAAGTTACTTTTGATCTGCTTTGTTCCACCATTTGTAAAGAATATGAGCACCTAAAATCAAACCGACAATTTCACAGGGTTGAATTAATCCATATCTGTTAGCTGTGAATACTAACAGTCACATCTTCTACAGGCTTTGGTGCAGATGCGAAATTGGTTTATCCGCTTCCCAACAATTTTACGGGCATGTGAGAGTACTATTGAAATGCTCAGAGGGCAGTATGCTCATTCCATTGGTTGCTATGAAGAAGCTAATTTTCATTTTCTTGAGGCTTCAAAGGTATGTGAAGGGTTGTTATGTTTAAAATATTTGTGGTGTACCAGGACCACTTTTTTTGTCTTGTTGGTTTGGTGGAAACTGTCCAGACAATAGTGGATTTTTTCAGAGTTCAACTTTTTTTATAATCTCTTCCCCGATTTATAAATTCACAGATACACAGAATTTTTTCCAGTTCATTATTTCTCGACTGATGGAGCTCAGGGAGAATGTGAAACCATTTGTGATATAGTTCACATATTGTAATAATGTACTCTGCAACATATTTTAATTGAGAAAGCATGAAGGGGAGGTAATAAACGATCCACCAATGTAAAAGTTTACTTGCATAAGCCTTAGGACCTGCTCTCTCCGCTTGAAAAAAATGTGTTCTAGTCTGATGTTTTAGAATATGGTCTGATTTGAATCTTTTTAGTCTGGTCTAGCCTTTCATGATGTGGTCTAATCTAAATGTTTCTGATCATGTCTAGATGAGCCTTTGTAGTCTGGTTTGGTATGAATCTTTCTCCTCTCGGCCTTTGGTCAGAATGTCTGATTTGATTAAAATAACAATATGGAATAATAAAAAAGAAAAAGGTGAAGAGAACAACACCTTAGATAGAATAAAATTTATCAGTTTGTGAAGTAAATAAATGAAAATTTCTTTTTAGCAATCAATATTCTGGATTATAATATGAGTTTTGTTTTTTAGCTTACAGAGAACAATAGTATGCAAGCTATGTGCCACATCTTTGCAGCAATCTCGTTTATCTGCATTGACAACACCAAATCCTCTTCAAAAGTAAAAACATTTAACCTTCATCTATATTTCATTTACATAAATATTCTTTTGTTACATAAATTAATTACACAACTATTCTGCAAGCAGGCCCTAGAGCTCCTTGGACCAATTATGGGAAGAATTGATTCTTTTGTTGGAGTACGAGAGAAAACCAGCCTCTTCTTCGCACATGGGTTTCTGTTGATGAGGCAGAAAAGTGCACAAGAAGCAAGGTATCTGTAAAAAAGGAAAAAAACCTCTAAGTCCATTTTTGGCGTCATAGCTGAGTCACACTTTGCTTGCTTTAACCTTATTTGCAGAGATAAACTCGCTGCTGGTTTGCAGATAGCACATAATTCGTTGGGGAACCTTCAACTTGTTTCGCAATATTTAAGTGTCTTGGGGAATTTAGCTCTTTCACTTCATGATGCAGGACAAGCTAGGGAGATCCTGAGGTCTTCATTGACCCTGGCAAAGAAGTTGTACGATCTCCCAACTCAAGTTTCTGTACTATCCAATTTGACAGGTACAATTGATTGATGCTGCACGACAATTATGAAATTTTATGTGTCTGTTAGGGAAGGGTGGTTCGGGCTCAAATGTTGAAGTTTCTTAAATTGTGGCTGATATTAAATGCGTTGCTGAATTATGAAAAGCATCTAAAATACAAATGAAAAAGGCTAAAATGATCTACTACCCTGCGTATTTATCATTTCAGCGCCCACAACCAATTAACCAAATATTGTAGTATTTGGAATGAAAAGCTGGCGGGTAAAGATGATAAGCCAAAAAGTCAACAATCAAATGGCCACTATATTTTGGAAAAATAACTTTAAATAATACCAACTATCATTAATGAACCGATAATAATACAAACTTCGAAAATGACTTTTAATAATACCAACTATTTGAATGTAAAACAAAAATAATATGGAGTCATTTTTTGACAAAAAAACCGATCATTTAAGACATCAAATAAATGATATTTGGAAATATATTCACTAATTAGATATTTTGATACAAGTTTTTGATGAGTTAAATGAGTTAAATTCAAATAAGTGATTGAATTTTTAGTAAAAAAATGCTCTATAGCACTTTTGGTTTATATTTAAACAGTTGGTATTATTAAAACTTATTTTCAAAGTACGTATTATTCTTGGTTCACGAAAGATAGTTTGTATTATTTAAAGTTATTTTCCCCTATATTTTTTTCACGGGCAGTTGATTTTTACTGATCATAGTTGGCTTCTTTTCTATATCAGAACTGTACCAGCAATTAGGTGAGCAAGGGAATGAGATTGAGAATCGCGAATATGGAACGAAGAAAGTAGAGGAGCTACAAAAACGACTCAGTCATGCTTGTTCATCTAGTCACCATAAGGAACTGGTATAAAAGCACATCACTCATGACAATATAAACCTTCTTGACATAGTTTTGACCTATTAATATGATTTATATACTTTTGGGGTATGTTTGGATCTTAAAAAATATTCAGAAAAAGTACTCAGGAAAGCAACTCATGTTCTTGACATGTTTGGTTACCCTGAAAATTCTTACCTTCTTTAGAAAACAGAAGGATGGATGTGACTCCCTCTGTGAGACCTTTACTGCATAGAAAGTGCCCTTATTGTCCTTCAAAACTAGGGAATCCATTTTTAGAGGGTGGGAGGAAAGTTTGAGAGCTTATTCAGTCATTTGGTGACCCCCCCCCCCCCCCCCCCCCCCCTTTATCTTATCAGCCCTGTCATCATGATTTTTTATTACTGAACGCTATAACTCGTTTCATTGCTCTCTGGTAATAAAATAAAGTTGTGTATGAGTTTTTTTGCTGAAACAATAAAATGACATTTCCACATGTTTAGATGTTTTCTTTATTTCTTGATATATTTAATATATTCCTTAAGATAATCCAGTAGATTCATTTGTTTAAGCTACAAGTTTAGCACATTCAGAGATTCAGCCATTTAATCCATCAAGACCTCATAAATTGGGCTACTAGATTCCTTGGAAAACGAGTATTTTTCTAGGAAGGAACCAAACGCTCTCTAATGAGAATATTTTCTTACATCTGGCCTTACATTAAAATATGTGTAGGAACTTGAAATTTGAATACCTTTTTATCAGTGTCATTATATATTAGAGGTTAATTAATACTATCCTCCGTTCCATAAAAGTTGCAACAGTTTGACTTTCACGTTTGCCAACGCGCAACTTTGACTGTAATTATATTTATTTACGTATTAGTAAACATTAAAAAAGTTAATATATTGGAAATTTACATTAATACAAATTTATTAATATTTTATACATAATATTTTTATTATATATATATTAGAAAATCGTAGTCAAAGTAAGGTGTGTGAATAGTGCAGAAATTCCAATGTTGCAACTTTTATGGAACGGAGGAAGTACATAAAAATTACCTTGAATTTTTTAAAATTAATTTACTGAGTTTGACTCTTATTATCCCCCAAACCTTTGTTACTGCCAATTATCCTTCCTAATTTGTTTCATACTATTTTCAGTGTTCCGAATGGACTGTTAGCAGATAATTCTCAGAGCCTTTTTTTTATGTGCGTGTAATATGTGCAGATTGCAAAAGTGAAAACTGAAGTTCCTGACTGGAGCAATTATGATTTGATGAAAAGAACAACTTCCAACCCCCCGACCAGAGTTGATTTGGACATTCCTGAATCCATTGGCCTATCAACCGCCTCTCCTTTGCCCTCATCATCATCAAGATTAATGAATGTTGATCTTGGCAGGATCAGAAAGAGAAACATTTAGCTTCCTTCCTACATGCAAGTTGATAGTGTTTTCACTGATCATCTCTGATGATGATGATGATGAACTGTTCTCACCTCCACCAGGGCCTACTATAAAAGTAGATAATTTGAACAAAGATGCTTAATGGAATCCATTTGTATACTTTGTGTACCATACAAATAGCCTTTTTTCGTTCATTTTTCATTTCTCCTCCAAACCTTTGCCTTGTCTCTCCTCCCCCATCCGTGCCCCTCCATTTCTTTTTCCCAGTTTCATTATCTCACAGGTAAGCTTCTGTGATGCCCACTTTTTTCATTTTCTGATTTCTTCTTGCAATTTCCCAAACCTCTTGCGCTCCAATTGACTTCAGTTTCATCCTTTGCTCTACTCCACTTCGAATTTCCCCGTTACCCCGTAAAGCTATGTGGGTAAGCTGTCATCCTCTCCATAATTTAATGCGGAGTAGTTATCATCTGTAAATACTGAACAAGGGTTTGATATTTTAGTTACGTTGTGCTGTTCTGCAGAATTATTTTTCTCCATTCCTTGTTCGATTTTCTTTTTCAATTTTCAATGCATGATAAAAGTCATGCTAATTGTGTTTGTTGGAACTCCTTTGGTAATGTTGAAATTGGTTAAATAGGCTAAATCTGTTGAAATCTATGAAAATATTAAATTAAATATATATTTTATTAATAAAGTAAAGAAATAAATATATGAATAATATCCAAAATGGAACTGTACACTAATTTTAGTCAATTTTGTCAGGTTCGAATGGTCCCGGGTTTGACTCTTGGCATGATACCGATAATCGTGACTTCATCAAACAAGATAAGATTTTCTTCTAGCAAGTAAATATATATCTTAAATACTTGTTAATTTTGTTTTGTTTGATTTGATTAGAGAAGATTGCTAGAAATGTTAATCCGTTAAAATCAAATAACAGTTTGTAGATGATTGGTTAGAGGTATGACAGTCCCACTGAAGAGGAAGATGACATGGGGTTGGTTTTTGCATTAGAAGTAGTGGCGAGCACTGAGGAGCTAGTCAAAGTGGCGTGGATCGGTGGTGGGCTGGTGGCTCGGGTCGTGTCTGACAAACCTATTCGGATGGTGGCTTTATTGGAAAATAATGGCAATGATGTGGTGGCTTATCAAGGGAGTTAGTATTGAGGATATTGATAATTCAAGGTTTTTGATACAATTTTATCATAAAGGCTATATTGACCAAGCAATCATGGATAGTGGTGGACTCGGCCCGGGTGGCCCGACCCGGAATCGGCCCGAGTGGCTCAACCCGGAACCGGCTCGGGATCGGTACTGTTCCGGCTCAGCCTGAACCGGTGGCCCGGTCAGTGACCGGTCCGGGTAGGCGTGATCCGAGGGGTTTCCGGTCCGGGCTCGGGTCACCCAAAACAAGGCCCGGCCGGGCTCGGACCTGGTTCGGGCCAAATTTTTTTTTTTTTTTTCATTTGTTTGGGCTCGGTTTGGGTTGGGCTTGATGTTTAGGGGGGGTTTGGGGGGTTTGGGGGGGGGGGTGGGGGTAAGGGAGGGTCAGGGATAGGTAGGTAAGCAAAAAAAAAAAAATTAACCAAGTCCGAGGCCCAGCCCAACTCGGTTCGGACCCGGACCGGACCCGGTGGCTACCTGAATCGGTTCCGGGTCCACCCATTCAGACGCGCCGGCCCGCCCGGGCCTAGGCCCGACCCGGACCGAATCCACCCCTAATCATGGAGGGATTGTAGCCGTATGAACAAAATTTGGTGTTAATGAGACGTCTTGCGCGGTTTGATAGGTTCCTCCAAGTGGAATTAGATTTAACTGAATTTTGGGTTCAAATACATAATCTACCACTGAGACTCATGACTCAGAAGGTTGCAAGAGGAATAGGAACTTTGTAAGTTTACTTGTTAGGATTGATGAATGAACTCTCGGAGGAACGTGAGGGTGTACTGTATGCACAATGGTAACCAAACACACTTTAAGCGGGAAGATTTTTGTTTTGTTTTGATCACAAGTGGAAAGTATTTCTTGCATTCTTTTTCTACAATTTGAAATTAAATGGAATATTTCACAAGTGGAAATCAAATAAATACTTCCTCCGTTCTTCAATAAGTACAACACTTTTCTTTTTCTACAATTTGAAATTAAATGGAATATTTCTAATTTAGGAAAGAAATACGAAGCAAATTTCCTTTTATACCATTAATTATTTACACTCTTCGGTCTTCACATATTTTAGATCTAAAACTTTATTTTTTTACCTTCTCCACACACCCCCACCCCCACCAAACAATTCCAATTTCATCCTACGTACAACCTCTTCTTCATCTTCCGAAATTACAAGGTACACCCGGGGTGTACCTATACACTCGATATTTTTGTAATTATCTTGAATTTTGAGTCTTTTTCTTCCATCCATATCTGCTACATGCTCAACCTTCACCATCGACATTCAAAGCCGACCAAGAGTCTCATCCTTCGGGAGCTGGAACACCAAGAGAATGGAAATCGCTTCCAGAGCAAACTCTGACAAGTTCAAATCTAGGTTGCATGGAAGATACGATAAAAAGCACAACCTTGCGGAAATTAATGACGAAGCGATTGAAATCTGAGTCACGAGCGCGTCTCTTGAGTATCCTCAGTGCAAAGAGTCTCGATTTCAAATTACTGGACCGGATAGAGCCGGCCAACAAGGACTGCACCAAACCCTGTTCGGCATGTTGCTTTGGAGTAGGAATCAGCTCTTGAGTGTCCTATATAAGCCGTGGAAGGTTGGGAATTAGATTGAAGTCCTTCAATGATGCTCATATGAATCCTATTCATTAAAAGCAATTATTTTTTAAACGAAGAAATGAGTATATAGAAATGAATATTTGAGCACATTAAAGATTTCAAATGATTTTCTAAATTTTTTCAATGCTCATTTTATAAATTATGTATGCTCATTTTGCACTGATATTATGTTCATTTAAAAATTTTATATAAATGCATATTTCAAAATTATCATATTATATTAGATCGCATATTGAAATTTATAAGGGCATTACTCCCTCCGATCCCAAAACAAATTCAGTGTTTGGCTTCACACAAATTAAGGAAATAAATTTGACTTTACTGTAGAGTACACCGTTGTCACACTGTTTGGCACTGTTTGGCACTGTTTTGTACTGTTTTAATCTAGATAATTTTCCAAATAAGGAAGGGAGAAGAAGTGTGAAGTTTATTTTGGACCTACCCAAAAAGGAAAGTGTGAATTTGTTTTGAGACCGGAGGGAGTATTTCTTTAAAAAAAGAGTTTGTTATCGATATAATCCAAAAGATTATTACCAAAGAAAAAAAGAAAAACTAAGAATAACAAACTGGATTACGATATCAATTGTAGAGTTCAAATGCTCAACATATGAAGTTTGATACTCAATGAAAATGTCTTGGTACTCAACTTATTAACATTACGATTTTTATATTAATGCGTATTTCAAAAGTCCCACATTTCCATTGATGCAATCTGACCCAGAGCGAATTCCGTCTTGCTGCAACTTGATTTGTTCTAATCTCACCTGGGTTTGCTGATCCGTCAGAATTCAGACGTCTCTGGTCCGTCGTCGTTCCTCCATCTCCGGTGCTGCAGAGATTCTAGATGACAACGTTAATGCACTGTATAAACTAGATTCTGGTGATATTGACCTGGCAGAATAATCCAACCCTGCGGTGTCGCTCTCCCATACCAAATGAGCATAACACTTAAACGAAATGAGCATAGGCAAATGAAGATTTGAGCGCATTAGCGATTTCAAATTAGGGTTATATATTGTATTTCTAGTGTATTTTTAAATTAGTGTATTTTTATAATTTAATTAGTATATTTCAAAATAGTGTATTTTTATAATTTAATTTTTTCATTTTTCATATTTCACTTACCCTACTTATATTTAAGCTTAATATAATGATATTTTAGCTCAGTCCAACTCAAATTTCTAGATCCTCTTTTGACTTATATTAAAAACAAACGAGTGGTATATATATTGTTAGACCATATATTCTTACAAATAGCTACTAAGAATAGAAAGGGAGCTCCCTTCAGTCCAATTAAGGAGAGACGAAGGGTGAAATGAGTCTCCCGCGTCATTCACACATTCACACTAGTTGGCTAGCTCCATCTTCTAGTGTGTTTGAATGAATGAGTCGGCAACTAATTCAAACCATTCCTCTACCCTAATTGGACCGAAAGCAGCTCCCTTCGACTTTAATTAATACTCCGTACTTAATAAGCTAACTCAATTTCTTATCACTTCAAAAGCTTAAGCAAGTTAAAACATCAAACATATTTTTACGAATCATAATATTTAAATGCACAATTATACATAAGAATGTTTTTCTTGGGGGGCCAAGGCCCCTCTAGCCCTCACTGTCTCCACCACTGTTGTTTATATTGTAGTCCTAAAACAATCAAACAAAGTAGTGAAAAGAGTAAAGGAAGATAGACAATAGACCAAATTCTTATATATGTAGACTAAAAAACAAATGGAAGATAGACAAAGGGCGATTTCTTATATATGTACACAAAGAAATTAACGGAAAAAAAGGTAAGCAACAAAAAATGAAGAAAGATAGAGCATATATATTGGGAGTATTGGGAGCCTGACTGGATATGATGAATGACTTAATATAGGAGGAATATGGATATTAGTTTATTACTTCTCAATGAGTAGTGCACATGTGTATCATATTTTAGTTATGTTTAGGAGAAAGAAGAATCTATAATTGAATCTAGCAAACAAAATAATTGAAGGGGATATAAAAATGACCTAGTAATATATATAATATTGATGAAGAGTTGGAATCAGGAAGGGAGTTGAATCTCTACACAAGAGAATGGATACCGAAACACACACACCCGGCCTCCGTATATGTGTGTATGTTCCTCAAGGTAAGTTGAAAAAAATGAGAGAAGCATAACCTATATTTATACTCACAAAGAGGGATAAAAAGTACTACGTATTACTCCTGTCTCATTTTTATGTCTTGTTTTCATTTGACACATATCAATAAAATACTTGAAAATTAAATATTGTGATTGAGGTAAAGTAGAATAAAGTGAAACGATATAAATCAAAATCATATAATTCTTTTCAAAAAGGGAACAAATGATCATTTATTTTGGGATAACCCGAAAATGAAAATAAGAAGGCGAGTGTTACAGTTTCCTAAAAAGGAGTACACACCGCTACTTCATCTTTTATTTATGATTAAATTATTCAATTACAATATTCTAATTAGTCAATATGTATAAGGTATGGTATCTTGACGGTATGATGAAACTTTCCAAATAAGAATTGGCATGATTGAATAATCAGATTTTTTCTTTTCTTACTCGGCATTATGGCTTTTGACATTTTTTCTCCATGAGAGTAGCTAGCTAGGGTGGTGCTTGCCGAATTCACCTTTGGGTAAACTAGAATTTCCTTTACTTTAAATTTTAGGAGACACATCATTTTTACATTACACGTACACCTCCTATCTTTGTTGGTATCATAGACAATTCATCTTTTAAAATGTAAAAATTGTCTAGGACACAAACAAAATGTACGAGCGTGTACACGGCTGATACAAAATAACACGTGCACCAAGAATTACTCCTCATTTTAATACTATATATAAATATATATCATATCAGTGTACCAAATAAAATTAAAGGATATAAGTAAAACTTTGTGCACCTATTTACTGTATAACCTTATTTTTAGTTGACATTTAAATAAGGAAAAATAGTCAAATAAGCTTTTTTGCTATTGTGAAACCATTATCTAAGTCTTATACTAAAAAAATGATCACATAGATGCAACTATTGCTTAAAACCCATCAAATAGCCGCAAAATCAATGCAACCAGCTGCTTAGCAGGTTTTTGACATTTTCTAGGTTATCCTTTTTCTCTTTTCTTGTTTTCCTATTCTAGCTCTTGTTACACCCTTTAACTATCCAACTATTTTTTTCTCTCCTTTCTTCCTTTTTTCTCGATGTTAAAAAATTTAAGGGGATTGTTACTAAAATATTCTTTTATACGTAGTATTTGGAGAATTACACTTTTAGTCCCCAAGTATTCACATTGAATTTTACTTCCCATTTATTTAATCTTGTACTCCTAACTATCATCCCCGTTTTTTTGAATTTATATAAAATAAGGGTTTTACTGTTAAATTTGAACGAACACCCTTTTTTATTTGTGTAACTTTGACATAGTTGCATTTGGTAAAAAATAATACACTTGCACACATTTTGAAAATTATTTTTACCAAAAGATTTTGCCGTACACCTAAGCCATAAACAAAGATTGTTGATTTACACCAAATTTATTTGCACAAAAAATTGTTACTAAAAATGTTTATTTACACTTTTATGGCGGTATGGCCTAAGTAGTATACGGGACACAGACTTTAGGTGCAAATAATTTTGAAAATGAGTATAAAAGTGAATATTTTTTTTTGCCAAACATAATTGTGTCAAAGTTACAAAATTAAAAATTAATAGTGTTCATTTTAATTTAATGGCAAAAGTCATATTTATAAAATTCAAAAAACTGGGGATGATATTTAGGAGTACAAGATTAAATAAATGGGAAATAAATTTCAATATAAATAATAACTTAGGGACTAAAAGTGTGATTCTTCAAATATAAAAGAATATTTAGTAACAATCGCCTTTATTTTTCAAAGATCGAAAATGAAGAAAGAAATGAGAAAAATAAACAAAAATAAACAGTTAGATAGTTAAAGGAAAACAAGAAAAGAGTATAAACGAAAACCTAACAAATGTCAAAAAATTGATATAGCATGTTGATTTTCGGTTAGCTAGGGGCCTACATGATGGGTTTTAAGCCGTAAATACATGAGAAAATTGCCATGGCTAAGACAAAAACATAAGTTTTTTCCCAAAATAGGACTCAATGTTTGGTTTTCCCTAAATAG